CCTCAACCCTAAACCCTAGACCCTAGCCCTAGACCCTAAACCCCCAACCCCTAAACCCCAAACCCCAAACCCCAAACCCTAAACCCCAGACCCTAAACCCCCAGCCCAGTCAGGTCCGAGGAAGCCCAGGGCCTTCTGGCAAGAGCTCCGGCACTCGGAGGCCCAAGGTCCAGGGTTGCATTGAGGCGTTTAGGGTTTAGGGTTTAGGGCTTAGGGGGTTGGTTTAGAGTTTAGGTTTAGGGTTTAGGGTTTAGGGTTTAGGGTTTAGGGTTTAGGGTGTAGGTAGGTTGTTTCAGGGTTGATTGTTGTTTTTTTTATTGTGTAACTCGTTTTTTGTTTAGGGTTGTTTGAGGGTTTAGTTTGTTGTTTAGCACCTTTGGTGTTCTAGGTTGTTTTAGAGTTTAGGTTTTTTGGCTTGGGTTCCCCAGTAGGACCCTGTTGCCCTTTATCCTTTCGGGGCTTTCCCTCATTAAAACCAAATAGGAGGAAACAAGGGTACCTACCCTGATATATTATTAAGGGGGCTACTGGGGAACCCAGGGAACCCTAAACCCTAAACCCTAAACCCTAGATTTTGTTTGGGGTTCAGTTTGCTTTTAGGGCTTTGGGGTTTAATGATTTTAGGGCTCCAGGCCCGAAGGGTCCGAAACTACCGGTAGAGCAGAAAGTTCTTAGGGTCTTAGGGTTTAGGGTTTAGGGTTTAGGGATTAGGGTTTAGGGTTTAGGGTTTAGGGTTTAGGGTTTAGGGTTTAGGATTTAGGGTTTAGGGTTTAGGGTTTAGGGTTTCTATATCAGGAACTACCAAACAACAAGCATGGGTAGTGTCAAAGTTTAGGGTTTAGGGCTTAGGGTATAGAAAGTTCGTAGGGTTTCTAGAGTAGGACTTACCAAACAATAAGATTGATGAGTGTAGGTAGTCCCCATGCAGGTACCTAGGACCCGTTGGGCGACTGTAAACCTCATCAAAGGTTACTATTAGAAGGGTTTGGGGTCTAGGGTTGAGGTGCTGCGAGAAGTATGTAAGGATTTAGGGTTTAGGGCATATGAGGTGCTGCTACAAATCAAGGTCTGCTCACATTCTGAACCTATACCCTAAACCCTAAACCCTAAACCCTAAACCCTAAACCCTAAACCCTAAACCCTAAATTAAATGCTAGACTCACTTCCGCGAGCTCTAGACCTTAAGAACCATAAATCCCCAGCGTCGCACTCTACATCTGTCTGGCCAAAGATGACACACCAGTGTCCTGAAGCCAGCCAGCGAAGCAACCAACACCTTAATGTAGGGCCTTGATAATTAGAATAGGGTTTTGGGGGTTCCTTATGATTATAGTAGAATTCCACCAAACCCCATTCTAATTATGAAGGCCCCTACATTACAAGCCCTGAAGCCGCAGATGACGCGCCGGACTTGCTTCCTCTTCCGCGCATCGGCACCTACGCTCTGGGCCGAGTCCAGGAAGGGGCCACTTGACGGCGGTTTGCATTTCAAATCCTTCCTGTCCGAAGGGTTTGGGGGTTTCGGGCTTATGGGGTTTATGGGGTTTAGGGGTTTACGAATCTGCTAGTGAGAGCCCTTGGGTCTCTTTGGTGTCTGAGAAATCCCACAGGTTTGGGACCCTTTGGGTAGGTAAGATCTGGCCCCTAAGAAACCAACATGCTAGAGGCTCCTAATTATGAGTTCCTTAGATAAGCCCTCAGAAAGGTAGATTCTTTGGTGTCTAATATAGGGGCCGCAGCAATTAGAATAGGGCATAGGGTTTTTGGGGCGCGTGATACTATACTTATGACAAGGAACCCCGCAAATATAGTATTGGTAGTTTTTCTCGGCCCTTAAAATTAGGTACAGCTAGGAGCTTACGGCCAGCCCTAAACCCTAAACCCTAAACCCTAAACCCTAAACCCTAAACCCTAAACCCTAAAACCTAAACCGTCATGGTATCCCCTTGCGAAAAAAGGTTGCGAGGGTCGGAATCCCATCGGGAGAAGCCTCGGCACAGGAACCTTCGTCTGAAATTCCCAAAAGAGGAACCTCCGAGGTGCCTTTAAGTCGGAAAATAGGGTTTAGGGTTTAAGGTTTAGGGTTTAAGGTTTAGGGTTTAAGGTTTAGGGTTTAGGGTTTAGGGTTCAGGGAACCTTACTGGTGCCCTAAACCATAAACCCGTAAAATATGAACCTTGGTGGTGCAGGCCCTAAGGTGAGGTTCCTGTTCGCTCTTCCCGTCATTGTTCTAGTTCGCATGACTCGATATAGCCATGACTCGATATAGCCATGAACAACGTCCATCCAGAAAAGTGTGCGACGATTCAGACACCTAAACCCTGGGCCCTAAGCCCTAAACC